TTTTAAATTTTGGCCATATTGCTATTACTTTTTTATTTTGTTGTGCAAAAATTTGCTTAACATTTGTGTGAAAATAAATTTTTCTTGTCAAACGATTACAGAATTTATTAAGCAAAACAGACTGCTAATACATGCTTTTTGCAAATCCAGCGCTTCAGACTGCGGGTTTGTGCGATAATACGCGCTTTTTTAGAATCATACGAACGCACCCAGCCGAAGAAAAAAAAATTTTGTCGTCTTCGAAGACAGTGCAAACATCAACGTCAAAAATCTACGTCAGCTCTTTACGGGTGGTCTTGGTATTCCCAGCAATGATCCTTCATTGCACTGGACTGGCACTCGCCGATCAATTCGGCAACGGATTTTGCTAACGAAATCAAGTCTGGTGAAGGGGTGTGTATTAAAGGTGGTACGCCGACATGTAAAAAACTCTGTCTTAGACAACATCTGTTACAAATCTGTGCAGGACGAGGTGTTAACATAGGGTTGGAAAGCAATTTGATCACAGAGTCGTAGCAATTCTGGCATATGTAGAGATGTAAACTTTTGATGCGGTTTTGCGTGACAGTAATTGTTTATTTTTAGTGGCTAAATTTGTATTGTTTATATCACCTCCTGTCGCCAGCACTAACGTCTCTCGACAGCCGATAAACATTTTTTTTATTAACTCAGCTACGCAAGACAGCGACAAAGGCCCGTCTTGCCATAAATGCAAAACCGCCACCGGAATTTAGCTGAAGAACAGGATAAATAACTAAATAAAATCTTTGGTGAGAACTGTTTTCTCCAATTACCATCTTCTTCGACTATGCAAGCTGTAGCAGCGCGGTTCCGAACCAGGAATCTGATATGCTTTTATTTGCTGGTAATTTTATCGAATAAAATAAGCGGCGGTAATACTGATCATCAGTTGAGATTGCCCTGCGAAAACACTTCCTGGAAGGTAACACTCTCTCCGCTGGGATGTTCCAGGGACCATTTTACAGAAAGCTGTTCCTCCTGATTTGCATCTAGTTTCACTGTCCATTCCAGATTATGATTTGGATCCAGCCGGACACCAACTGTTGGTTCCCAGTCATGAGAATTGGGCAAAATTTGCTCGTTTGCATCTTTCTTGTCGAGTTCCGGAGAGATCAGCTTTATCTGAAAGTCAACTTATCATTTTTATTGAGATGATTTCGTATAATGAGCCAAATTAGCAGTAGCATCGGATAATTTGTGCAAAATTGATACGCTAGCCTGATAGCGATCGGTCTAGTATTCCCCCTCATTTCAGGTCCCCTCGGTCTATTCAATTTACCATAAAATGCTGAGCATTCCAAAGAAGTTAATAACATGGGACACTCATACTGGCAGCCCAGGTAGTCCTGGTAAGTTGGACCTGTTCCAAAAAAATCAGAAGCTGAAAGCTAATACTCATAAACGAAGTGGGTTTTAAAAAAGGATAAAATGAAACCTTGATTTTTTCATCAGTAGATTTGGGCACATGTTCCTTTACTGTTATCATAATACTGCTTGATTTCGTATTTTTGATTATAATCTTTTGCTCATTCATTGTGGACACTGTTTTTGTAAGTAGTCCACTCTGAAACTTCTGCAGTATTCAGCAAAAATTGGCCATTATTTATTCTAAAATTCAATGATCTATGAAGAAGCTTTCACGGATAGATTAGCGCTAATAATGGATGGGCTTTGAAAGTTGCATATTGATTTCGAATGTTACCGAGAAGTAAAAGGAGCGATAAGAAGGTTAGCATGTAGCACTGGTCAAAGCAACTGGAACAGTTGCCAGATGCGCAGCTGGACGACCGGAATGTGAATTGCAGCTAACAAAGTATTAGATTATCGGAGAATTAACAGTCAAGAAAATGAGTGGTGGTAAAACAGGAACAAGTTCGTTATGAATACTTTTTCTAGCCTTCTAGACCCCTGTAAGCGAACAAATGCAAAAAAGAGCATACCTGTTCAGTATACTTGTGCACAGGTCTGTATTCAACTTTTACTGCCGGATCGA